CCCCCATCAAATCCATAAAGCACCAATCTCTCCCTGGCTGGGGTGTATGACCTCCTAAATGTCAACTTCAGGGTCAGAAAGTTAATCTGCTGACAAGAAAGGCTTGGAGAATCTGAGATTGATTTCAGCCAGGTATAATTACACCACAAGGAGCCTTAAAACAGAAATTTATTTTTTTTCCCTTCTGTCTTTGAAGAATGAAACCACCCTGATCTCATGAAATATTTAATGTTTTCTGTTATGTTCTCTAATATCATGGACCTACCACAAACCCTGTTCTTTTCAATAGGTATATTGTATGTTTTGGTTGAGGTTTAGATGAGCATCTTAGCATTCAGATTTACAGGCAAAACATAATTTGTCAGTTTCATGTGTTCTAGCATTTAGATCTTAATTCAAAGCATATTTTGTTACTCTATTTCTGTCAAGTTTTAGATGCAAAACATGTTTTGACTAATTTACTTGAAACATTCCTAAATACTGAACATTTCCTGTGTAGGTAATTGTCTATACATACAAACTCTACCATGATGCTGCATTAAACACTGTGCGGTTCTAGTTGTTCTTCGGAAGTTAGAAGCTAATTATCAGCTGTTTTTCACTAAAGAGGGTAAGGCAAAAGACTGCCTACACTTTTAGGAGTTCTGTTATTTTTTCACTTCTTAATGGTTTCTAAAGAATGCAACTCCCAAAATTGGTCCCTTAGGAACACTATTAGCATGTGTAAACCTTAAACAAACAAATAAATATCTTACTTGGCTTCAAGTCTCATTCAAACTCATTCTTGTTTTCAATTGGGCGATACTCGATTGATCTGCCCAAAACTTAGGCTACATCATGGAGAGTATAAGATGTGCCTATAGGCTTTGACCTCATAAATACTTTGAATGTCATGAAAATTCGGTGACAACTAAATCTACATTTATAACAACAAGTACACACACATTTTGGAAGAAAACCTAGGCAGTGTTATGATACGAGCCAGAGAAGAAGAAAAAACGTGTTGCCCTCCAATTAGAGGAAGCCATCAGTTTCCCTACAGTTTAGAAGCCTTCCGAGGCAGCAAGCTCATAAGGAAGCTCTAAGCAGCCGGTTAAGAAACGAGGGTTCACAATAAAGTTTTCTGGCACGTCAAACACGTCTCATTTCCGCCTCTTCAGAGCCAGATAACATTTCACAGAGTTCACTGGAGATAAATGAACCATGATTTAAGAGAAGATGTTAGAAGGAGAAGAAGATAAAATGGTCGACAATGATAGGAGAGATGTTGGTTCTGACACTTACAGTGATGATTGTGAAACTTGTGATGCATCTAAAATTTCATGTGATAAATCATTAGATTTCTAACATTGAAGCCATATTATAGCGAAAAATGCACTGACACTTCAAATGTAGTTGTAAACTTTTATGCAACTCAGATTTTATCTAAAAAAAAATGTATCCCCCTATTGTACTCCCTTTACAGGGACTTCACAGGGACTAATGATAATCCGAACAAGGGTCTGGTTTAATTAAACATAGGCCCTCAAAATTCACTAAGGACCTTGAAAATTCAAACTGTGAACACGGGAATTTTGCACACAGATCCACAATATTTTTTTGGCCAGGCCCAAAGAAATTGAAATGTAAGCATGAAACCCTGCCCCTCTATCTTCCCCCCTCCTCCACAACAAGTAGGAAGAAGTATGTAGGGAAAGCTTAAAAATTAAAAAATTTGGTGTAGCGGTAGACATGTAATTCACTATCTCGTAATTGGATAAAAAGTGTGTGCATCTTTGTTCAGATAAATTTTCTTCAAATCTTATGTACCATTATTCTTTTGCCATTGGCTTTTTTATGCTGGAGATTAAAGTGTACAGAAAAGATTAAAAAAAAGTTTAAGGTGCGGTTTTATTAGGTTTTACCAAATTAAAACTTATTGAGTAAAAAAGTGCAAACTCTGAAATAGAATCAATAGATTACCACTGACATTGGCTAAATCATGTCAAACAAATCACATTAAATATGTTTTTGACCAAATGCGCCCATTTCATGAGAAATTGTTTGCCAAAAACATCCGCCCTTAAACCTTTTTATAATTGGTTGGCCTGATTCGGTAAGGTTTGAAATGAAAAGGTTTGGGCGGGATGTTGCCAAAATTTCCTCCTCAAAACAAAGATCAGGGAAGATGAGTTAAATATTTCTGAAATACATGTTTTTCTAGGAAATTGAGTGGTCAAACATCTTTCTAATGTCACTACAAAAACTGTGAACCTGACCGCAAAGACTTTCCAGTTAAAAGCAATTTCATTACCGGTACCCTTTTGCGTTGACTTAAAAAGTAAGGATGAGACGACGTAATATGTCACTGAAATGTTTGCGCATTGCACTGAGTGATGAGAAAGGGTATTGCTATTACCTTAAGATGATTTTTTCTTAAAGTCTTTGTTTTTTGATAGTTTGACAAATTCATAAGGATGACAAACTGATAATTTGACATAAGACACCATTGAAAGTGTCTGACGTATAAACCTCCAATACCACATGGTATTCATTTTGCATAAAAAACATCAGGGTTTGAGAACCAATGGTGGGGAAAAGAGGAAACAGGGAAAGAAAAATTGGAAACAGGAATTCTATTCGTATTTTCACCCACGTTTCCGGAGGCCAGTTTCTGGTCAATGTCAGGGAGCTTAATCCCCGGGATTATCCTAAGCTATTTCAGAAGATCTATACCCCTGAGTGACACTGAGGAATCTAATATCATCTGCCAAGAGTTAGAAGGGTGTTCCTTTACACTTGTGATGGTGATAATATTGATAATATTCTGGGTTTGCACATCAACGATGCCTCAAAGCACATACAGATATCATTACCCCAGTCTTTGGATCCAGGCTTGCCTGCACACAATATCTGCACATTCTCCACTCACTGGGGAGCATTCCAGCCAGGCACTATGTTGGACGCTAACAAAAGTTGAGCAAAGTACAATGACTGTAACTGACTCCGCTGGATGCTGAGGTGCTCGCTCTAAAACATCTCACAAAATTCAACAATCTTACTCAGTACGTCCATTCCATTATTCTCTGTTAACACTATATTTTACATAGACTTTGCGCCCTTCTGGCTCTCAACGGTAATTTGAAATATGACATGATTCTCTTAACCTTGACAAGGTTTCTTTCTTTCTTGGATAGTTTGTGATGGAAGACATCTGGTCAAAGGCCAAAGGGAAAAGAAGGTCATTTCCAAGATAGGATACAGACCGTATCACTCGGGACAGTTTCAATAAAAAGAAGAGACAGAACGTAAGAAAGTAAAACAGGACTCCCATATGACAGTACTATTTGTGGTGAAATTGTTTGTTATTTTATTCTTCTAGACATTTCTAATATGAAATGTAATTTTTTGCAGAAATGTCAACCATAGAATGAACTATCGTTTGTTCTGTATTGCAAGCTAAAATTCTATGTTTAAAAAATAAGGTAATCATCACATAATGTTGTCATTTGACTTAATGATCACTCCCGACTCTTCTAAAAGATAATGAAATACATTTGCGCATTCCTTTTTTTCATCGAAAATGCTTTCAAAGATGAACTAAAAAATATTACAACAAAGGGGAAGTGTTCCCGACCTTATTCTCAAGATGGCCACCCAACCTGTCATCTCTCAAGCCTGCTCCCTCGTTAGAGTCTCAAGATGATTCCCAATTTGCACTGAAATCTGTTAGCTTGAGACATGGACTTGACACGCTCGAGAAAAGAACCTGTGATCCGTGCACGTTTAAAGTTTGCATCTTGACAGCAACGAGGTTTAAGGTTAGCCTTTGTTTAGAAAGATGATACTGGAGGGAAAATGTGTTCTTCATTTATTTTGTCTCCCCTCTCTCTTTCTTTCTCTCTCTCCTCTCCTTCCATCCCTCTCATCCCTCTGTCTCTACTCTGTGTGTGTGTATGTCTGTCTGTCTCTCCTTGTCTCAGTCTCTGTATGTCTTTCTTCTCTCAATGTTTCTCTCTCTCTCTCTCTCTCGATCTCTCTCTCTCTCTCTCTCTTTCTCTCATAGGCGATATCATGAAATGTACAAAAAGTGGACCAGTCAAAAGAGTTTGCTTTCAGCCCAGTAAAATTGTAAAGGATTGTGGAATTACACTCGAAATTCAACATGACCTCAATTGACCTTAATGGCTCCATGTGATATGACCCCATCCAGTATGGGTAATTTCTGGTCATTATTCTTGAGCTTTGATGAGATCCAGACATGGTGGGCACTTCACTGGTATTTATCCCCTACTTTACAGGCACATTCCCTGCCACATAAATGTCACACTTGATGAGGTGTTTCATGAAACCAGTTATCCCTCGTCCAATCAGCAGGTTGTAGACACATGATCTGGCAACGACTGCTACGCTTTCATTTCTGTATTTTACCAGAATTCCCAACTTCAACCATGGACCCTTCACTATATAACTCTAACCCTCAATGTAACCCTGTATCTTTGACGACATAAAGCCACTACAAGTGTTTCTACCTTCTATGCAGGAATGGTTTAACGATATGAACTCTTGTTATTTTTTACAGTCAGGTTATCAAACCACCCTTGTAAACCTGCATCCTTCATTGCAAAAGCAGCAAGAAGTACTTACTATACTGAATTTGAACCCTTGACCAAATCTTTGAAGGTCAAGTCCTTAAACCATTAGACCACCAAACCACTTCTCATGCATCCCTCTAAATTCAATTTCTTTACAGAACAGCTAGGTAGTAGACTGGATAGTGGACATATATCCTACAAGTTCAATCAGTCTGGCATAGATCCCCTAACCCAATAACTAAGGGCCCAATCCTCTAACCACTAAACCGTAATATTCTTTCTTACCCTTGTGAAGTCACATTCTGGAATTTCCCCAAGACAGGAAACAACATACAAGGATATATGACTAAGATTGGAATTTGAACCACTAACCCTAAACCCAAGGACTCAGTCCTCTAACCACTAGACCTTAATATTCTTTCTTACCCTTGTGAAGTCACATTCTGGATTCCGACACTGTTTGGGTGTACATGAGATGATCTCCCCAAGGCAGGAACATAACGTACAAGGATCTGACTCCCATACTGTGTTATTCTGTAGAAAGAGAAAGGAAAAATAATCATTAGAAATCAATTAACATTCGGTTTAACCAAATGTCTTTGGTATAACCAATATTTTTTAATCATTAACAAAATACGATATCACTATTACAACATCATCATCCTCATCATCACAATCATCATCGTTATCATCATTCATATCATTCTCATTATCATCACCATCCCATCAGCATCATCATCATCATCATCATCACCACCACCACCAACACCATTATATTCAATTGATTTGCTTCTCTTATGAATAACTCTGACAAGTGATAAAAATGAACACTTTGCCTCTTTCGAAATTGACCCGATATTCCATCTTTAACAAAATTGGAAGAAATCTAATAAAATGCTTGAAGAATTGTCTATTGGCTTTTCTTTTTGAGGACGGCTAAAGGACGGTCAACAACCCTCCTCCTAATCAACAACCTTTGAAAACATCGTTGAACAACTCTCATCAGAAAGACGGCAAACAATGATATAAAGATCAGACTGCCCTCGATGGGAATCGTTTGCCCTGTAATTTTCATGTTTCATTCTTCGGACCATTTACTTTCAAAATAGGCAAACAGATAATACGTTGTCACAGGGGATGCATGGTCCATTCGGGACAATTGCATGTACACAGTCAATGTTGATATTATGTCTGCAAATAAGAGTTGTGAAGAGGCAAGGCTGAACGTCCACCTTTATGAATGAACACTGCAAATAGTCCAATGCCTTGGGGTGTAATGATCGCACTAAAAAGAGAAAGAAAGTTCCCGCAATTTGAATTCGCTTTGACCATATGCCAAGCCTTCCGTTTGTTCCATTGGGTCATACCCTTGTTCCTGAAAGGTGCGTTCACATATTATGGATCACAGGTTCTTTACTCAAATTGGGTATGGTGTCACATCTGGGTAACACTGAGTCAGAATAAACTGGTAATGCATGTCCTGTCCATACTCGCAATATTTAATATCCACACTAAGCGAGCTACCAAACGTTATATTTATCAGAATTTTACACTGGTGGCAGCGGTGGGATATATTATACATGACTAGAAATTATGAGTGATATTTTATCTCTTACACTATTTTTACAGGGTAATATAAACTAAAGTGCATATTAGTAGTGCCATGATGGACAAGCATTCAAAAGTATAATTGTTAGGATTAATTGTACCCAAATTTGTATCTGTCTATTACATTACTTTGTATTTGCATACTCTCTTGTTCTAAAATGGAGGGGGAAAAGAAGGCACATGGAAATGCAAATTAATGTGATATAAAAACCATGAATGTCAAGATCGTATACATGCAATAACGGGAATAAACTCACATCATTTTACACAGAGTTAACCCCTCTGGCTCCAAACGGATAAAATATGAACTCTCACTAAAATACATTGCAGGATGGACGTTGTTGAGTTGCTTTTCATAACTTTTGTTTCCATATTTTACCAAGGTTCAGGGAGAGGACATTTGTAAGTGTTGAGTAGGAAAGAAAATATGGATTCTTGCTAGTGTTCAAACATTATCGAGGGTTCAAGTATTATTTACATTCAACAAGCACTAGGAGAGACATCAGTCACTAAAGCAAATAAGAATTGTGGAACCAGGTGGCATGAATTTTCCTGCACAAACCATCCCATTTTAGGGAAATTAATGTTGCATAGAAAACTCAAATTCAGATGACTTGAAGAAATTATAACTCTTCACAAATCTCTCCAAACATCATCTACTTTAAGCCAGAAAGGCACTTACTCAGAATCGTAGGACATAATTCAAGTCCTTTGATTTTTAACATTTTTCGCTAAAGCATATAATTTTAATGGGGAGTATCACCCTGCTTTCAGTAATATTTCTCACGTTTATTATCTTGATATTTTTCACCCTTCCAGAAATTAAAAAACAATAATCTGACCAAACACCCAAAGTACCTAGAACCAATGTTCACCTTTCTTGTTAGTTTCTGATTCTGAATCAATTCATAAATACTCTATCTTGTTATATGTGTGAACAATTTCCTACACAACTCAATGGACCAAAGTTTGAATGGAGAGTTCAGAGTCACATTGTCAGATACACCCTTGACTCTTCAGGTTCCACACATATTTCTCGTCTGATTTATGCCACTTTTTAATCTTTTCAGGAAGGTAATCGGGAAACGCACCTTCCAAGGCCCAAAAGTTCACCCTCATTCCAGAGAATTGTGAATAGGTATTTTGTTTTGATTATTCATGAAGTGGATAGAAAGTATGTAATGTCTTCAGTGACTGAAAATGATTATCTCAATCCCGCTTTGATTCATGATTGGGTTATAGACTTGCAACATGCTCTTTGGATAATGTCTCTGGGTTTCGGGTTGAGCCATAAAAATGTCACAAGAAATACAGCGCGTAAACTTGAGCGAGGGCCTAATGTTACGACCTCGCTTGGTGACATTCAAAGGATTCTGTAAGACTGTTGACTTTTGTGCTGAGAAATTTATCGAGTTCATTGTCAATGTCATAGTATTCGTGCAGAAAGATACCAATTTGCAGTGGAATTTATATAATGATCATATAATCATAAAAGAGCCAGCCTAGAAGAATTGATTACCTCAATGAAAAATTATTCAAGTCCATGATTTTTGGGCTGTCAGAAGAAATCATGTAAAGTATTCTTTTCAGGATCTGGACCTTTTATTTTCTGGTCATTAATGCATTAAGTTTGCTTAAAAACATTATTTCCTATGAGTGTTTTCCTTGGGATAAAATTCACTAAAAAGAAAAAACATTTCGTGGGAATCGTCAGTCATTTGGCAACCAGACATAAGACAAACAGGCAAAAGAAATTGTGTTCAATTCATGAGACAGGAAAACATTTAGATATGAGACAGATACGATGTCCAGCCGTGAGAATATTGAAAATTTCCCATGAGACATGAATGACAAAGACTATTAAATTCAGTGCATCTCGATCGTCTCCAAAAACAATGTGTTCCATGAATCAATCATACCCAGTTTATTTTATATAGGCATGGGTTATCAACTTTGATACTAGTAATGATTCACAAGCTAGGCCTCCACCATTGTGGAAATGTAGGTTATAGTTATCGTTGCAAAAACTGTTGAAGTTATTGAAAAGGCAATACTGCATCCCAAGACTCAAGACAGTGCTACCTCAGACATGAAACAATACAAAATCCCAATACAAGACAAGAAAATGTCTTCTCAACATGATTGCAAAACTTTTGATGAATCGACCTTGGCCAAATTATTTAGCCTTGTCCATCACCTAATACAAATGTGTGAGCAATACAGTGACTTAAAGATAAAGACCAGTAATGGTCATGCGATTGCATTGTGAAAGAAATGTTGTGAAGTCGATCAGAAAAGGTTGATCATCTAGCATAGAAGTACTGCAAGGTTCTGGAATCATCAAAATGATAAGAAATTTGGCCCAGTCTTCATAAAGTTACAAGCACTGTACACAGAAAGATGTATACGAGACTACACACACGTGCTCGACACGTGCGTTTTCATCTCTCACATACCAATAGATAAACTAATTTACCAAATATATCAATTAGTAGGCGGTTTCCCGGCAACATTTTTATCATCATGTATTATTCAAAACATATTCTTTCACATGATTGGTAATAAGAGCTTCCACTTCATTTTTTGAAATTGGGGCGTTTCCAATACTGGTCTTTACCTTTAATTTGTAAGCAAGATATAACTTCTATGAATTATACAAGACAGTACAAGAATTTCCCTTCAGTTGAATTCATGGAGGTTTTTGTGCTCATGTTTTCAAGCACATCACTTTAAAACACAAATCATATTTTAAACGTTGTTTGAAACAATAAATATCAATAATCTGAACATGCTGCTTGCCATCGCGCCAGATTGGACCCAAAATCTCAAGATAAGATCTTGATATCACAGACGATTTGCAATAGGCATCCTCCCTTAACGAAAAATGATGTGGACGTTATATTTTTGGCAAACAGGAAAGAGAGGGTTCCCACACAGGGTTTGCCGCACCACAGGAAGCCTTCACAAAGAATTGACGTCCTATTAGACTGCCCTCATCAGATCATTACTCAAGTGAACTGTAGAGACTCTCGGACTCCAAGAAGTCTTTGCAGAACTTTTGCCCATTTTTGTCCATCGTTTGTAGCAAATAAGGCGTACGGGTCAGTATTTGAGTAGAAGAAATATTCATACCATTTCCACAAGACTTAAGATTGTTGACTTTAATACCTAAAAACTTGTGTCAGTTGTATGTATAATAAATGTGAATGAAGACCTTATAGATGCTTGAACTTTTGTGATTGATGGTATCTCAAACTTTATAATGTTAGTTGTTGTCATTTTACAAGCAGCAACCCATACCTTAAACATTGTCTTTCGACTCAATGTTTTGCATGATAATATAAATGTACATGTATCTAGTCTTACGAGGGTATACTGGCTCAGTCAAACAGTCAGCCGTACCTGTTCATGACATATTTCACTAAAATCAACGATTTGGGCCAAGATATGCCAATGACAATTCCCAAATTTTCGTTTGGCATGACAACAACAATTCTTTCCTTGGAAATCTGCAAAATCATGATTCTTTATAATTCCATCCTAATCTTAACAAATAAGCCTTCAGAATGTCATTAAACAAAATTATAGGCCCATATTACATATTTTAGGTATTCAATCCCCATGCTGTGCTAGAATTCTCATTTCTGCTTCAAACCAACCTTGACCAATTACAATGCACATGATATTCGGCCAATTCAGGGCGGCCCTTATAATTAGCCAGTCCCCGGCTCCCTAATGAATATACCCAGTACTTAAATCAAATGCCACTTTATATACAGGTGTACTTTGACAGCTCCAATTAGTGGAGAGCTAGACTATAGACTGAACTGGGAACTGACCAAAACAGCAGGATGCTCCGGACTTGATTGACCTGCCTCTTGACCAAGCAACCTAAACGTACCAATGGACAAGCAATTTCAACCTCAAAATGCCTTTTAAATTTTCA